ATGTTTTGCTATTGTGTTCGTGAACTTTGAGAAAGGTATGTCGTGTATCCATTAAGATTGGGTTTATGAGTGTTTCAAGTAAGGGAAATTATTTTATACATAGGATGTGCAAATTTTATATAACTTTATCTATTTTGATACCATGTGTCTTATTAAGATTAAGATCTAGGGATGTAAGTTTTAGAGTTTATAACTTAATTACTTAGTTTAGGATTTAAGAATTAGAGTTTTAGATCAAAAATAAAAAAATATTTAATTTTGATTCGATTTCAAATATTTTTTTAATTTTTAAATATATTATAAAAACAATTAAAAACAATTTTGTAAATATATCAAGACAAAACAGATGGATTTGGTCCAAACTCACCTTAAAAAATTTAACAAAAAAATTCTAGTAACATATTTCAAAATCCAATTTTAAATAGAATAAAATCATCATAGAACGATTTCGGTTTTTTAGGTATAATGTTAAAATTCACCTCTAACAACAACAACAACAATAACAACAACAACAAAACCCTATTCCCATATGCAATGGGATAAGGAGAGGTAGGGTAGTAGGTTGCCCCCAACGCCAGGTTGAGAGCAGTTTCTGTGGAAGACCTCCGGCAGTCAGAAAATTAGTAAAGACAAAATACAATGCATGTATTGTAACATCCCAAAACTAGAGCAAGTGACTAAAATTGGAAGTTTTGAAAATTTGAAGTCTAATTTCGAAAGATCTGAAAATTCAGAGACTTAATTAGGAATATTTTGAGGATTGTTTGATAAATATGTAAGGAAGTACGGGTAAATTGGTCTTTGCAAAGAAAGATTTTTATTATCTTTTTATAAAAGAGATAACCACGTGTAAATGGAAAAGAAAATTCTGGAGAGATGGAGTTCAATTTCTTCTTCTTCCCGTGTCTTCATGTATAAAGTGAGTTGGATTTAATTTGCTTGTTTCTTCAATCTTATGGTTTCTTTTGATTCTTGAGTGATAAGAAAGAGTAAGGGAAGATTTATGGTGACCTAAAACTCCAAACTGAACAAGTTATAAGAGATTAAGAAAAAGGAGTTTTTAAGTGAATTATTGAAATAGAAGGAGTTAACAGAATTTGAAGTTAAATTTGACTTGTCAAAGGGTTAATTAAGAAGTTATAGGTGATAGAATTGAATTAAGAACACATGGAAAATTTGATGAAATTCTTTTATTCAAGAACTATGGTGAATTATGAGGGATAGTGAAGTGTTATAGTGTTATAAGAAGGTTTACATATGTATAGATAAGTTTTAAGGCATAAGGAGGGGTTAATAAGTAGAATTTGAGGGCAAAGTAAGAATTTTCGGGCTCAAATGGAATTTCTGGGTTATGTGCATCGATGCATCTTCAATGTGTATCGATGCACTCTCAAATAAATGAATATCGAATGCAATTAGTGCATCGATGTACCCCCTTCAGATTGAAACATCGAAGGTGATTTATGTACCGATGCATGGGTAGTGCATCGATGCACATGTTAAGGGATGCATCAATACACTGTAGAATGTACCGATGCACTTCAAGGGAAAATAGAATTAGACCTTTCTTTTGGTCTAAGAAATGATAGATTAGAATATATCAATTGGATACTGATATGTATCAATGTATGATTATATAGATATAGGACACAAACAAGTTCCAGGATGACTATCAAGTTAAGATTCGATCGAAAGAAAGTAATCATAAATGGGATTGGAACTTAGTGAGGCCAAGGTGAGTACATCTTATTTTATAGAATGATATGGAAATTGGACTTGTGATAAGTCTATTTCCGATAGTTAAAGTGCATGAAGTCTTGATTATAAGTAGGTGAATGACATGAAATGTATGTATGTTTGATTATATGAGTGGATATGTTTTTGTATGTGCTATTTGTGATTATATGTATTACATGATTTGTATGTGTGCATGACTATATAATGGTGATACGAACCTATATGCTAAGCCCTATAGAAACTATGATATATGAGTTATAAAATGAAGAACTATAGAATCCCTATGAGAAGGATTATAGAAGTTATATGGAACTGAATTAAATAAATAGAATAATCTAGTATTTAAATATTGTGAGATAAGTGATATAAGTCATATGTTATTGTAAAGGTTAGTATTATAAATCATGTAAATTGATAAAAGGGAAATGAGATAAGATAAGTAGCAATTACCTATAAGATTCAAATAAGGTTATTTGAATATGCAGCATAAACTATATATGGGTAAATTAGATATTCTATGATTTACGCATGAAATGAACATAAGATATAGTCAGATGAAATTATTATGTGATATGAGTATATGAATATGTTAGAGAAGTAATATAGGAAGGTCGATATGTTGAATGAAACTATGATCTAAAACTGTTAGGTTTTTATATGATATGAAGTATAGTATTAAAGTACTTGAAATCATGTGAGGATGATATAGAAATTAGAAATATAAATTATATGACATTAATGTATCAATTATAGGAAAATGAGTACATGATGTTGTAATAAATTATAGAAATTGGGGTAATGAAATTATATGAATAAGTGAAAGAGCAAACTAAGTTAAGCGACATTGACCTAAACTATATTATGAATTAGTGGTATAAGAATATGATATAAAATATGCAATAAAAATCTATGTGTTAAATGATAAATATAACTTATTAGAAAAAAATATAAGACATGAGACTATGAGTATTGAATACGTATCTATGTGATATGACCTATGAGATCATATGAAATATTATATGACTATGTGATTATATGAAAAAGAATACAATTATATGTGATAAGCTCTGTGATATGTGAATCATATGAAAATGTTCTACACGTAAGTGAACTATGTGTCTATATGTATATGTGATATGTGATTTATATGATAATGAGACTATGTGTATATGTGAATGTATGATAACATAAATATTAATCCCATGTTATGTGACATGAGAGCTAGACGTATAGTTGGCATGCCAAGAGTCGAGGGTATACGCGGTCCTTCGGAACATATATGTATTCTTTGGAGCATGTGTGAGGTCTTTTGAGACACATACTTGATCTTTGGCATATGTATATGATTCTTAAGGAATTTTCTACGTGGTCCTTAGGGACAATCTTATATAGCACTATAGTGCAATTCTACGCGGCACTACGGTGCAATTCTACGTGGCACTTTGGTGCATTTATACGAGCTGTGGTGACAGCATTAGTGCACAACCTCTATAGACTCACATATCTATAGTTCTCACATGTGTACATGGGCTAATAAAGGGATAACTTTGAATACAACGTATGTAATATATATGTATATGATGTGTAATATGAATTGTATGATATGATATATGTGTGTTATGGATGATTGAATCTGTTACATGATATACATGAATGTATGTTAATGTATATGTATATGTGAATGAATATAAATGGCTTATAGGATGATATAAGAATCTGTTATGAGATATAGAATATGAATGTAAGAGACTATAGGAGTAAAGAGATAAGAGATGTAAAGGATAATAATATAAGAGTATGATAAATACGTAAATGATGACATGTGTATATAAGTAAATGATTTATAAAAGAATATATGAGATGATATGAAGTGTATATATATATATATATATGTGTGTGTGTATTATGCTTGTATATAATATGTTAGTAGAAATTGTTCATGCATGATCACGCATTAGAGTTCTATTATATGTTTTATGCCTCACTAAGTCATCGACTTATCATGTGAGTTTTTCACACGCAGATTACAGAAGGTGAATATAGAAGCTGAGAGGAGCAAGACAGGTCAGTATCTTCCTTACAAAGTTCATATCAGAAAAGAAATGTTTGATATGTATTTTATTCTTTTAGATGCATTTGACATGTAATATAAACGATTTCAATTGTATATGCTCTGATAAGTGTAAAAACTTTTATTTTGAAATAGTATGAAGTTTTCTTTAACGGGGATTTTTTTATTATTTTGAACAAGTAAAGGTTTAAAAGTTAATGTGACACCTCGGACTCGGATCCGGGTCGTATACGGGTTGGGGGTGTTACATGTATAAATAAATAAATAAATACATAGTTGAACAGTCTTCATATGCGCGTCTGTAATGGGAAGTAATCCCTGCAAATAAATCCCTGCGTAAAAATCTCTGCATATAGACAGAAACGTAAATCCCGGCTAAATTTAAAATGAGGAAACATGAAGAGAATGATACACCGTAGTCAGCGATAGCAGTGTACGCGAAGGAATAAAGTCAAATGGGTTAAAACCTAAACTAAGACAATACTACTCCGCTACCCTAGTTCTAAGCCTTCATAAATTCAATGATAAAAACGTATAAAAAGCAGAAGTCATTTGATAAAATAATCACTTTGTCCTCCATTCTTTTCTCTAAGCATTTTGGTTTCGCAATATTTCATTTTGGATAAAATATTCCCTGATTGAATGAAAACTGTTAGTTAACTAACGGTCGACGCTTGTTGCTCACATGTCACATGTACGTAAGTGATGACGTGTCACGTGCTATGTCATCATTTACATACATGTGGCATGTGACACATCATCACTTTGAACACATGGCATGTGATACACCATCACTTTAAACACATGGTATGTGCCACATCATCTTTTACATACACATGGCATGAGACACGTCATCACTTATGTACACGCAATACGTGACACAACATCACTTATGTACACATGGCACGTGACACATCATCTCTTATGTACATGTAGCATTCGACACGTCATCACTCATATACGAATGGTATGTGCCTATGTCATCATTTAGACATATAATATTTGTCACATTGGACAAATTAATAACTATTTTATCTCAAAATAAAATGCTAGAAATTAAAATACTCTTAAAAAAAAGTTTTAAAAGTGAATAAAAAAAGTCACTTGCCTTGTTTTTTAAAATGGGAGAATACTTGGCCTATATAAAGCTCCCAACCATGGTTACTCGAGTCGTCTCAGGCACACAACAAAACTTAGAAAATCAGAAAAGAAGGGAGAAAAAGAGTGATGGACAACTACATAGCAAGCAATTGGAGAAAACTGAGCGGCGAGAACAACTGGGAAGGTCTCCTTCAACCTCTAGATTCTCATCTTCGCCGCTATATCATTCACTACGGCCAAAGGGCTGGAGCTGCGGTAGACCTTTTCAACAGTGACACCTATAAACCTAACGCCTCCGAAGAAAACTTCTTCACCAGGGCATGTCTCGTGAAAGGAAACCCATTCGAGTACGACGTGCGCCGCTTCATCTATGCTGGCTCAAAACATGTAAAGCCAGCATGGATCGGATATGTAGCGGTGGCCACCAACAAAGGGACGCGCGTTCTGGGAAGGAGAGACATCTTGGTTGCTTGGAGAGGAACCAAAACAGCCTCGGAGTGGGGCAATAACTTCCAATTTTTTCCACGAGTATCGGGTTCAGACCTATTCCCGGGTCAGACTGCAGTTATGATGCACAAGGGTTTCTACTCTCTTTATACTGGAAAAATACCAGTTTCTACTCGTGATAAAATTAGTGCCAGAAAGCAGGTATCTTCTTGTATACTATTATACCTCTTTTGAATCTCTTCTACTCCCCATATCAAAACATCTAAAGAATTCTTTCATTAGAAACCTCTCGAAAGATCTCGAGAACCTAGAGCCTTATACCTCTTAGGAAATCACAACTCTTTGACATAAAATTTTAATAAGAACAAGATTTTAGGTTAAGGGACAAATTTATAAAACTTTAGAAAAAGAGAAATTTATAAATTTTAAGAAGGGTGAAAACATATTATTAATTGAAAATATAAAGAAAATATATTAATTTAAAATTTTAAGGTGAGGCAATTGTCTCTCTAAATGAAAAAAATCAATCGATAGTTTATCACAAACAGACTTGTCTATCATACCAACTTATAAATAGTCACCATTGACTTCCACCATACACCTTCACATTAATATTAAGGATCATTATAAAATTGTTTGATAAAGACCGGGAGAGGGTATCAATATCTCATATTCTCACATCCATCTTTTCTCCTTAAAAAAAAAAGAGAAAACGTCGACATATAGGAAAATTAATAGGAAAATAACTATTGATCTCTTGTTACCTTGCTATTTATATACACAGGTCCTGGACGCGATAAAGGAACTCGTGGAGGAGTACAAAAATGAAGAAAAAAGCGTAACAGTAACAGGCTTTAGCTTAGGTGCAGCACTTGCAACGCTGACTGCAATGGACATAATTACCAATGGATATAACAAGACCATCACAGGTGAGCCGTTCATGGTCACAGCGTTTACGTTTGGCGGTCCACGCGTTGGAAACGATGGTTTCGCAAGTGTATTCGATACACTCGGTCTTCGTCTTCTTCGTATCAAAAATGAAAAAGATTTCATCCCCAGTATTCCACTGGTACCATACAAGAGCGTTGGAAATAAGTTGGCTGTTAACACCTCGGTCTCAGATTACTTAAACCGCAAGGTTTTTTGCGGGGCATTGTTTTCACAACAACAACAACAACAAGATGACACTTGGCGTCGGCTATCTATTGTATTGTTGGTGGTGCTCATGATTTTTGAACCCGATTGGTCACCTCCCCGTTGGTTCTTAATAATGATAATAATAATAATAATTATAAATTGGCTGAACAAAGAAAGAAAGTATTGTGGCGATGGAGGTGAATTTAACCGCATGGACTATGAAGATGAAGATGAAGATTTAGATCCACAAGAACTTATGATCATAGGCTCTGAAGATGGAGGTGTACGTAAAATCAACTGCATGGTCTCTCATGCAGATGCTACTTCACTTAACGTCAAGACCAGCAAGCTCGGAGAAAACTACAGTTGTCACAACATGGATGTATATCTGCATGGAGTTGCCATCAAAGACATCGACTACACCACCACGGCGGATGAACTAGATCATGATATAGCACTCGTGAACAAATATTTCAACCGTGTGCTTCCCAGGTACAAAATTCCTCCAAATTGGTGGAAAGGCGAGAATCGCAGAAAGATGGTTCAATTAAAGAATGGTCGTTGGAAGGTCAGGTCGGGTCAGACTTAAGCTATGAATTTAGGGTTTCTCTAACTCAAACTTGTATATGAAGTTCATAGTTAAGCTACATTAATAAAACTTGTTATGTAATGTATTAAAAGAACTTATGTTTGATGTTTTCAATTATATTCAAGTTTGATCTCTTTTATTTTATGTATTTATTGGTTCATTGCCTCATTCTAATCATCAATTCAATTTTAGAATTCTTTAATAAGTATCAACAATAAGGGATTAATCTAGGACGTCTTTTGGATTAGAAGTAAATTATTAATTTTCTTAGGATTAAAATATAATTTTATCATTTTTTTAACTTATAACATTATAATTTTTAGAAGTGTTAAAATTTTTATACTTATTACGAATATTGACACTTAATTATAGGTGATTAGGATGAACTATAGTTAGTTTAGAATAATTTTTCCTATAAATTTTGGATTTTATGTCATCTCTCCATATCCATATAGCATTTGATTATCTTGTTAATCTATGTTTTCTTTGGACCCTCGGACAACAGACACTCACAATCACTGAAGACAAATTGTGATTGAGTTGTGGTGATGTCAATTTGTCGATGAGTCATCATTGTGTTATGCATTTTTATGTTAATGGTGTTTATCTTTCATCCTCGACAAATGATTTTTATTTACATCTATCATTGGTTTAGATTATTTGGTTGTGCGGTCGGATTTTGTTATAGATATTATTAGAACGTTTATATTAATTACATCTTTTTCAATTTATTTACTTTTAAATAATATAATTTTGTCCAACTCTTACTTCGAAAATGACAAAGTGACAAAATTTTTATGTAATTGTTTTTTAAAATTAAAAAATGCATCTCTCATGACGATGTGTCTTTTTATTCGTTTGTTATTATATTAGTCGTATGCAAAGTTTTGGGTTTAAGCTACTCAAGTATAAGACCGAGTTGAATTGAATTTAATCTATGAATTTAGGGTTTCTCTAACTCAAATTTGTATGGGAAGTTTAGACTTAATCTATATTAAAACTTATGTAATGTATTAAAAGAATTTGTGTTGATGTTTTCAATTATATTTAAGTTTCTATGGACCAAACGGCCTCAGTAGTTAAAGGATTATTGTTATTTCTTGAGACAAATGCAGCGGTGATTGAGTGTTCATTTCAAATGGTCGAGAGTCTTTGAATGGATAATACATTGTATTCACTCTAATCTAATAAAAAATTATATTCAGTTTGCTCTCTTTAATTTATTTATTGGTTCATGTCTCATTTTAATTATTAATTCGATTTCTGAATTCATTTTCAAGTATCAACAATTAGGGATTAATTTAGGAAATTTTTTGGATTAGAAGTAAATTATTGTTTTTTAAGGGTTAAAATATAATTTTATTATTGTTTTAACTTAACTATATATAGATTATTAGGATGAACTAAACTTGGTTTATAGTAATTTTTTCTATATCTTTTGGGCTATAGTTTTAAAACTTATCAAGATTATTGAAATTTTTTCTTAAAAAGATTGAAACTTTAACTAAAGGGGTTGGTTCAAGTGGTAAGTAGTTTAATATCACGTAAACAAAGTCTTGAGTTTGAGTTCTTGTGTATGCAAAAACTCTCTGTTGGGAGACTCACCTCCCAAAGTTAGATGTACGACCCGGGTCAGTTCTGATTAGTCGAGGCGAAGTCTTGAAACTAGAAGAACAACAAAAAAAATTGAAACTTTCAAGTAATTTCTATATTTTGTGTCAATTTTAAATATTTTTAATATATATTTTTTAAATTCTCCCTCAAAATTATAAAAAAGATGACCTCTAAACTTTTTTACAAAGCCCCTCTCAAATTGTTTTCCCAATATCCACCGTTGACAAATAGGATAGTTTACCCAAACGAAGATTCGAGCGCAAACACAAGACAATCAAAGGCATTAATCGGAAATAGGAATGAGCACGGGACTTGATCAATGCTTTCTGTAGACATCCGTTTTTGTCCGGGTATTTTCTATTTAATTTTCTATTTATTATTATTATTATTATTATTTAATATATATTTACATTTTGCAGGCCAATTCCCGAAGCCCAATTACAGCTCAAGCCCAACAAACCCATCATCTCCAAAATAGATTACAACCCAACAATTGGCTTGGCCCAAAGACCAGAAGCCCACTGGTAACCCGAATCGACCCAAACCCAGACCCGAATCAGACCCGACCTGAGCACATATGACAACCCAACTAGGGTTTTCTCTCATGCTCCAGTCGCGTCGCCATCAACCCTCTAACTTCCCACTGCCGAGCCATCGAGTCGTGTCCAACATCAGCTCTGAATCTGCCGATTGTTCCCACATGCGCCACAGTGATCAATCCATCAAATAGCAACCCCATCAGTCCTAAATCAAACCAAATCAGAACAACAGTAAACCTAATATTAAAACCCATTTAAAAAAAAGTCCTAAATCTCTAAATATCCGGTTTTTGGTACTAACCCGAGCCTAGAAATCATTCCTACCGAATAGAGATGATGATTCTCATCCAAGTACCATAAAAAACATACATGCAATGACAAAAGAGGGAAACCGAGAGTTTTTTTTAGAGTCAAACCCTCAATATCATTCGAACCAAACACCAAGAGAGGACCAAAAAAAGAAATCGTAGAGAGAGATCATACTGAGGAGGTGGGTTTATCGGAGGCCGTGGAAGCACGACGGTCATTGTGTTTTCAGTTTCTTTCGAAAGGTAAGTAGTTGGATCTAGGGGATTTGGGCCATTTTTAGGTTAAGTTGGCTTGGGATCTAGGTTGAGGGTGATGAAAGGAGGGTTTTAGGGTATTCGGGGTCTTACTGATAACCGTGTGCTGCCGTGGCTTGGGATCTAGGTTGAGGGTGATGAAAGGAGGGTTTTAGGGTTTTAGGGTCTCACCGACAATCGTGCGTCGCCGTGAGCGTCGTCGGCGACGACTATCTCATCTTCCCCGACGAGATGAAAACCAGAGAGTTTAAGAACTCTCCCTCCCTCTGTTTTTGAGAAAGTGACCAAATGAGGGGGGATAATAGGAAACAAAGCCCATTTTTGGGTTTATATAGTTCACGCAGAACGACGTCGTTCTGGGGGGACCTTATGCGTGTTTTCGGAGTGTGGGTTAACTACACGTTAGGTCCCCAATACTTTGTAACCGCGTGTTTCAACCATTAAATGAAGTTCTAATTTCTTTGATTTCGAGCCTTACTTATGTTTTAGTCCTGTTATTACCTGCTATTATATTCTGGTTATTATTTGATTTTGGTCATAATATTTGCTATTATTTCATTTTTGTCCCTGTGTTATATTTGGTTTAATTATGATTCGGCCTTCATGTTTGTGATTCATGGCATTTTAGTCCTAAGTTTCATTGTTGGGTTATTTTCATTCCTAGTGTCTTAATTTGTTTAAAATATAGATTAGGGCTCTGGTATGTTCATATTTTCTGATTAGGTCCTTTAAATTTTTGTTTTTCAGTTTGAACCCTTCAAATGTCTGTATTTTTTATTTTAGCCACTTTAGTTTCGGTTTATTTATTTTAGTCCTTAACTTTCTGTTTTTACTATTTATACCCTTTAAGTTTTTGTTTTGTTGTTTTAGCCATGTAAATTTCTATTTTTTTCCATTTTAGTCCCCTAGGTTCCTATTTTTACTATTTTAGTCTCTAAGTTTTTATTTTTGCCATTTTAGTCCCTTTAGTTTCTTTTTTTTATTAATTTAGTCCTTCAAATTTATGTTAATTTTATTTTAGTCTTGTAAATATTTGTATTTTAATGATTTCATTTTAGTTTGTAATGTTTACTTATTTTTATGCTAGTTATTTATGTATGAATGTATTTTACTTATTTTTATGGTTATGTGTATTATGTAAATAATATTTTCAATTCTATTTAATAAGATCATGTTATTTTGTATTTTAATTACATTTATTTCCATTGTATTTTATCCGTGGTTGAAATAGTCGAATCGTTTCAAGGACACGTATTCGTAAAATGAGCGTGGAAAGTACCACTTAGTCGAAGTGGTGCGATCCTGTACGACATTTTAACGACATAGTAACTTGAAATAAATCGAGTTTATGTTACTAATTAATTTATTTTAATGATGCAATGTGTGTTATTTTAATTCACAATTTATTTCATTGTATGCAAAATGCAAATAATCAATTTTCATTTGTATTTAATTCATATTTATTAATGAGGGAATATTCTTTTATTGATAAAAAATAGTTCGAGTTAGCTTTTCCGATGGAAGATTGTTAATTTCGAGATTTCTTTTCAATGTCAAAGAATTTTATCTAATTAATTAATTCGAAACAAATTAATTAACTTTAATAAATGGATCGCATTTTAACTTTATATTCATTTCATCATTTCCACCATGTACGACAACGTGTAAGAGATACAGTACCAATTTTGGGCGCTATGGGATGTTAATCCTTCCCCACGCGTAATCGACTCCCGAACTCGTTTTAAATGAATCTTTGTAAACGCAAACCATTTTTGTCTTAAAAAATGATTTTTCTTAAAATTGTTTTTAAAAGACATTTTAGATATTCGACCTACCTAACACAAAGGTCGATGGCGACTCTTTTTCAATTTAATTCAAATCAATCCAAAATTCCCAATTTTTCCAAATTAAAGTCATAATTATTTTTTAAAATAATATTTAATTGTTCTACCTAAAAATGGTTATGACAGCTTGGCGACTCTACTGGGGACTTTTTAGAGAGTCAAGTTGTAGGTCGCTTACACATTGTCGTTGTGGTCGAAATTATGAGTTCGAGTCTTTAGTTAATTTATAATTCGTTTATTGAAGTTTTTGATTGCTTTATTTTTTAACTTTCATATTAACATTTGAATTTTTGCTTTCAGATCGATCCAAGTTTTTGTCGAGTTTTATCTCTTTTTCGTTTTTGAGTCAAATGTAGGTACGTTCCTTTTCACATACATCACGAACATTTGCATAACATAAGCTCTAGACACGAGCTTCGATTCAAATTAGTCGGGGTGAA